GTTGAGGTCCAGCAAGGGTGATGATAATAATCACAACGGCTGCCCTTGAAGGCCCAGTTCCCCAACCCCCGACTCTGGAGGGGACACAGGGCCAGGGTGGAGCCTTCCTGAGAGGGTAGCAGGAAGGGGTGTGGCACTGGGGACCAACTTCACAAACTGTTATCTGTTGGGGAAAGAGGGAGGACAGGCTCTGCACCAGTCCTTGTGCAACTTCTGCCAAGCCACACAGAGCCCCATTGTTCTCACGTGGAAAGTGGGGCGCCATCTTGGTTAGCGGAGAGAGAAGTGTTTCTGCCTGCATTGGTTGGCTCTCCCCTGTGAAGGCTTTACCCTGGAATCACAGAGACCGGGGGCTCTGCCTGTGTCCCCTGAGACCCTGAGTCTCCAGCCCAAGAAGGTAGACACAGTGGGGTGGTCTTCTCCAAGAGAGAGTTGGTCTTTGAAGCCCAGGTGGAAGGATCTGACGTCCCCATCCTCATCACCCATCAGAAGCATCTACTCATCATCAGCGTCTGCCCTGTGACCACCTGAGGATACCCGCTGGCGTTACCCCCATCCCCACCACACACTGCCACCCCATGTCCCCTTCATCAACACCTAGGTGACCACCCAGCACGGTTACTATCGGTCACTATCGGCAGTCCACCTGCCTAAAACTTCCTCTACCATGGGTTGACGTCCCATCCTCTTCTACCTTCTCCCATCCCCTCCTTCTTCACGCCCAGCCCCACTCCGTCCTTTGGTGCAGCTTGCAGGCTGCAGGCTGCTCCCCAGAGCCACAGGAAAGAAACAGAACTTCTTCTGCCTCACTTCCTCACTGCTCAGCTCAGGGAGGCAGTGAGGGAGCAGGAACTGAAACAAGGAGTGGCAGAGGGAAGAAGTGGAAAAGGGGAACAGAGAATGAAATGAGCAGAAATGGGTTGAGTGGGGCCCGAGACCCAACCTGGAGTCAGGCAGGCTGAGCTGATTCTGATCACAACAGTCTTGCTGTGTGACTTTCAGCTGGTTGTTGTCTCTCTCTGGGCCTCCTTTCCCTACTGGTAACAACCTCTTTCTTAGGAAAGACACATCCCCTTAGGAGGAATCCAAACACAGCTGCACTGCTGGACTCCTAGGCCTTCGGGCATGATATTCTTCTTAATACACTGTCTTCTCTCTCTCTCTCTTAATCGGAAAACTCCTACTTATCCTTCAAACCCTTAGCCTTGCTCAAGGGTTTCCTGGTGGTGAAACCCTCTCTGAAAGCAGTGATTTGTGTGTCCCTCACTTTTCACTTCTTGGGTTCTTCTGAAGACCAGGACATCTGCAGGCCCAAGTGAGAGGTTATGCAGACAGAGTGGGAAGCGGTATGTGTAGGGGGTGATGAGGGCGGTGCAGTGATGACCACTGCCCTTCAGTCCCCATCTGCAGGCCCTGTGACCTCACACCAGCCCTGGAAGGCCAGTCTGCAGTGCTCCCCATTCCCTGAATGAGGAGCCAAGGCTCAGAGAGGTCAGACGCGCTCTCAGTATGCACAGCGTGGGGCTGGGCAGGACTATGTGATGCCTCGGCTCTTGACTGTGATATCCCACATGCACAGAGCTAATGGCCAGAGGGTGGATGCAGCTGTAATGGCGAACAGAGGCTGGCTCCTGTGCTGTCGTGTTCAGAAGCCTGGAGCCCATCCCAGGATGACACAGGTTCCCAGGACGTGACCTGGCCAGCCTCCCAGGACCAGGACAGTACAGTACTGTGTCCAGGTGGAAACTAGAGGCAGGGAAGAGTGAGGGCCAACCTGGAAATCCAGCCCCTGGGGTTTCTGGGCCTCTCCCGGCTTTGCTGCAGGGGAGCCAGGTGCTTCCTGGGTACCACAAACCCGTGGTGGCTGGAGCCACAGGTCTCGGCTGGAGCATTGAGTCATCCAGTGGGTGGGACCGAAGGCCCTGGGCAGCCTGCACGGGGCTACACTTCGTCCTCGAACCTGAGCAGCTTAATGGTCCCCAGGACCCCAGGTACAAATGGAGGAGGCCCTCCTCACTTGTGTCACCCAGGCCTAGCTGCTGTCTCCTGAGTGAGCTCTGTGTGTTTGAGGCTGGCAGTGACTTCCAGGAGGGGGCTACATCCAATGCCACCAGCTCAGCACTGTGAGGAGCCCCAGAGCCAGGAGCAGAGGCAACAGGGCTCACTTCCCACTGCCACGCGATACAGCCATGTCTGCTCTGAGCCTCATTTCCCCAGCTGTAAAATGGAGCTGTGTGGCCTGTCCTTCAGGCCTTTGTGCAATGGCAGGGCCCACCTCTGTGTGCAGGTCTGAGCACACAGAAGAGGCAGATAAAAGTCAGCTGTTCTCTGTCCCCCTCCTGGGAGTACTGTGTGTGGGAGCTGGGGTTCCTCTCTTCTTCCTGGAGTATCTTCCATTGATGGGGCAGGGTAGGGGGGCTGGCAGAGGGTCTGAACCAGCTGGTAGGCTGCCTTGCTGTGTGACCTTGGGGTGGTTTCTGCCCTTTCTGAGCTTCAGGTTCTCACCTGGGAACCAGGACCCCCACCTGTCCCTGCCCCTAGTCACTGAGAAGGGCAAAGGAGGCAAGGGGAGTGCGGTGTTGAGCTGTGGTGGCTTTTACAACAGCAGAAATGCTTTGGGGCTGCTGCTCGCTCAAGCTGCAAGGTGCAGGAGGGGAGAGGGAAAATGACTGACTTCTGGAGGCTCCCTTAGAGGGCCAGAGGTGCTGGGCAGGCAGCAGAGGGGGAAAGACCACTGGCCTGTCCCTCCAGGGGCCCATCTGGGAGGCCTTGGACTGTGAAATGGGAGTGAGAGCACAAGAAGAGCCCCTTGCCTGGCTGTGGAGCTGAGCTGCACAAAGTCCTCCTGCTTCCCTTTCCCAGCGTCACTGGCCATTTACAGGGGTCACTGGGGACTAATGGCAGGACTGTGCCCTGCGAGGAGTGAGTGGGGCTCAGGGCCAGACTTGAGGAGTCAGCAGGGGTGGGGGTGGGGGTCTGTGGGAGTCGAGGTCTCCAAAGTGCGGGGATGTCCAAAGTGACCTCAGGGCCTCAGGGTGGCAAACTTAGAATTTCTAAACTGGTGTCTGACTTACCATGTTTGTGACACACCTGGGCAGTAACAATGCTCAGAATCTAGAAACGAAGTAATGGGGAGTTGGGTGTTCAGAAGGTTTCCTGACACAGGTGCATGACCAAAGCACTGAGCCTCTGGGGTCCCCTCCAGCAGTGCTCTGGGGGTTTTGGAGGCAGGGAGGTGCCAAGACATCACTGTGCAGCTTGGACATTTACCTCCACTCTGCTCCAACTTGCTGTGAATCCTCAGTCAAGACACCTAACCTCTCTGAGCTTATAACACGAGCAGAGGGAGTTTATCAATCAAGTCAGCAGAGGCCTCTTGGAGACCATTTGATTCAGAGCTTCTCTTCAGATCTCAGCTAATCCTGGATTCTCTGGACTCCAAAAGTCCCCCATTGCCATCCCTGGCGGATGCTCCTGTGCCCTTTCTAAGCCGGACTGTGACTCACATGTGTCACATCCCAGGCCTGGGGAGCTCAGCACCTCACAGGGCTCCCACTCCTCACCTGCACTGAACTGTCACCTGCTCCATTTCCCTTTCTCTTTTTAAAGATGAGATTAGGAGGGGAGGTGCCTCAGGGCTGTTTCCTGCAGGCCCACCACCGCCCCTCACACCTGCCTTTTGCTCTGGTCTCAGGCTTCCTGTGGAGCAGAGCTTTCTTGGTCCCCTCTGCTCCATGAAGAGGGGCAGCTAGAGCAAGCCCTGTCCAACCCGGCACTGCTGCTGGTGCTGCTTGGCGAAAACTTGCACCAGCCCAAGGCAGATTGTGTTCACTGAGCGCCTCTGTGAGCCACACACTCAGGGTTTCGAGAATGGAACGCTGTAACCAGCGAAAGCCATTTTCTAAGTGAGAAGATTCAGAGAGGTACAGTGACTTGCCCAAAGTCACATAGCCATCTGGCTTTGAATCCATCTTAGACGAACTCCAGAGCCAGCTCTTCATCACTTCTGTGCTGTTCCATTCTGACTCTCTGAATAGGATGTAACATGACAGGAAGACAAGTTAAGACCTGCGTTTGAGCTAAAAAAAAAAAAAAAACAACCCACACAGTCAGCAAGGGGAAACAGATGGTGGGTGTCTGGTGGACTGTCAGCCAAGAATGAGTTGCAGTGTAGGGCTACCTAAAAAGCCTATGTAAGCTTAGCCGTATTAATAGAGGTAGAACACCCACTACAAGGGGGGCAATAACATTGATATCAGTGAGGAGAGATCCTTCCTGGAGAATTGTGTGTCCTGACATAGGGGGAGTGGACAGCCTGCTGCAAGGACACAGACACAGGGAATGTTGTGAGGTCCCCGTGGCTGGAAGCACTCAAGTAGAGGCTGCATGGCACAGGAATCATGCACCAGATTGGGGGATGGGGTGGACAAAAGGTGACCTCCAAGGTTCTTTCCAAGTGCAGCTCTGTGGCAGGACTTCAGTTGTTCAGTGACTCAGGGTCAGGTGTCCCCAGGGCTGTCCCAGGCTCACGTTGAAGGCTCCAAGAACTGGAAGGTCTATGATGCTCAGAGCCTGTGTGTTTGAAACCTAGAAGCTGTTGCCACCCAAGTGAGGGTAGGGGAGGGGAGCAACCAGCAGCAAGAGCCCTTGGTCCCCAAGCCTGTCCTTCAGGGGTAATAGGCAGCACTTCCTGAGAGCTTAGCATGGATCTGAGTCTCTTCTGGGCAGCCTCAGCAGTCCCTCCTAGGAGAACCTAAGAGAAATATCAGTATGAGCCCATTTTGCAGATGGGAAACCGAGGCCCAGAGATATCTAGTCACCTACTCACTGTTGCACAGCTGGGAAGAGGAAGACCAGGATGGTGAGCCAGAACTGCCCATCTGGAAAGGCCACAAGTTTATTCAGGATGTTTGTGGACCACATGTGCCATGTTCCCCTCCCCTCTCCCCCTCATGCTGTTGGGCTGGGAGGCCCACTGACTGGTGTTGTTTTCTCCTCAGATCATGAGTGTCCTGCTGTTCATTGAGCACACGGTGGAGGTCACCCAGGGCAAGGCGTCCTGCAGGTTCTCTAAGACACTTTACCTCAGGATCGGTAGGTCCAGGATAGCCCTGGCACACCCTGGGCAAGGTTGGGAGGGGAACAGTATGGGAAGATCCTACCCAGGTCAGATGCACTGGGGACTGAGGTCCTGGCTTCACTGATGATGACCCTAGGCACACCCCTGCCCCTCTGTCCCCTCCACATCTCCAGGGGTGAGAGCCATGGTTGGCACTTAACCATTACAGCTTCTAAAGGTGCCAGCCCCACTGGCCTGCCAAACCTGCCATGGCCGCCAACTCACTTGCTCATGTAAAAGTGAAACTTTACCAGGCCCCAGGCCCTAGGCCCTGAGGGTGCTCTGACTGCAGCTGCCTGGGGCTCCCCTCTTGTCCTGTGCACTGGACACACCCAGCTATTTGTTCCCTTCCCCAGCACCCTTCCCTCAGGCTCCTGGGCCTCACAGGACATTCCTTGCCCTGGCTAAGGTAGACTCAAGCTGAGTCCCAGCCACACTCTCTGTTCATATCTGAAATGCCCTGTTGGTGGTCCTTGTCCTCACTCAAGACTGGGGACTTCACTAGGGCAGGGCCTGGACTCTCTTGCTCACTTTCAAGTTCCTATGCTAGAGGTTCCCAAAGTGTGGTCCTTAGAACCTGGCTGGGGTTCCAGGGCACCCGGACCCTCACCGCTCCCCCTCACCCCTTTCCTTGCTTCCAGCTGACCTGATCTCCAGCTTCCTGCTCATTTTCATGCTGTTCCTCATCAGCTTGAGCCTGCTGATCGGTGTGGTCAAGGTGAGGCCTGTGGCGGGGCAGGGAGACCCAGGGGCCTCCTGCTGGGCGGGCAGGAGCCACCATCTGCACCTCGCATCTACTTTTTGGGGAGCCCCCTCTCTTCATGGGACTCCCCGGGCTGGTAGCCTCAGTTCTCTGTAAAACATGGCCTCCTGGTGGCCACATGCAGTGGGCTGTGGAATAACTGACACTTGGCGCGGGTGGGGGTGGCTTTCTGATGACCCCATCCTGTTAGCCCACAAGGGGAGGTGGGTTTGTGAGAGAGAAGGGGAAGGGTTGCTTTGAGGCTTGGGGACAGGAGGCTATTCTGGGTTTTGTAATCAGGGGCCAAAGTGGTAGAAAGTACAGATCCAGCCAGCATGCTTGGGCCCAAGTGGGATCCATACTCTGGAAATCCCTGGGACCTCTTGGTCCCCCTGGATTGACAAATTCACAAAGAGCCAGGTAGCTCAAGGAGACACTGAAAGAGACAGACAGGCTCTGTCCTCACCTCCTGCAGAAGAGGACCCTCCTGGGCACTGATGGTGCAAGGCAGAGGGGCAGTCTTGGTGCCCATCTGGAATGTCTCACTCCTTGCCACTGATCCCAACTGGAAAAGCAGACCAGGTCATCCCCAGACTCAAGCTCAGTCAGGGTTGTCTACTGGGCAACTTCAGTCACTCACAGGAGACCGCAGGACCCCACCTTCCTGTGACCCTATCTCCAGCTGTGTTGCTTATGCATGGGTACTGTCATAGAGTCACTTGATTTCAATGGAAGGAGAGGGACTTTGGCCTCGCCTCTCAGGGTCTCTTCCATGACTTCACATACCTGACAGTGGCTTCAAGAAGGCCGGCTGTCCACACAGGACAGGCTCCTTCCCCCCAGGCCTTTGCTCACATTGGAGTTTCTGCTGCCCCATCCTCTGCCCCAGTCACCTGTCTGGATCTAGCTGGGGTGGCTGCCCAGGATACCTTCTCAGACCCTTCTCTGTAAAATCCTCCTTTGTTGGGGTCTTGGGACTAAATTGAACCAGGTACTGTTTGAGCCTCTGGAGATGGGGATGGTTCCGGAGACACCAGGCACCTCTCTCCTGTTCCCCAGAGTGTCACTTGAGGAAGACAGGAAAGTGTGTGAATCTAGGTGGGCTTAACTATCCAGGGAGGGCAGGGGACATGTGACACTGGCTGCATGGGGGAGCTCTGGCTGCATGCTGGGGTCGCCTTGACAGTGCAGGGCCTGTCTTCCAGAACCGGGAGAAGTACCTAGTGCCCTTTCTGTCCCTGCAAGTCATGGACTTCCTGCTGTGTCTGCTCACCCTGCTGGGCTCCTACATCGAGCTGCCTGCCTACCTCAAGTTCACCTCCCGGACCCGGCCGGTGAGTCCCTAGCTCCAGCCTGGCCCGGGGAGCAGGGAGGGGCTCAGGCTGTTGAGAGCAGGGTCCTCTTCCTTGGTGGTGTCCTTGAGCAGGCTCACGAACCCCTCCATACTGCACAGCCTCTTCCTCTGTAAGCCACCCGTGCTTAGGGGAGCAGATGCAGGAAGTGTGTTTAGGAGGCGCTCAGCGCATGGTGAGGTGGTGCAATGACGCACACCACAAGAAAGGGCACAGTGCCTTGCCAGGTCCCAGCCCAGCCTTGCCTCTCCTTTGGAACCAAGTTCAAGAAAGAGAAGGATGACGTCACTGGTCAATGCCAATGAATGGCAAGCAGTCAAGGTGGTAAAGCTGTCCTGGCTGTTGCTGGCCAGTGATGCAGTCTGGCCAAAGTTGCTTTTTTTGGGGGGGTGGTTACTGGGGAGTTGAACTCAGGGCCCTACACTTGCTTTACTGCTTGAGCCACACCCTCCGCCCTTTTTGCTTTAGCTATCTTTTAAACAGGGTCTCATGTTTATGCCCAGGCTGACCTGGCTGCAATTCTCCTATTTATGCTTTCCACATAACTGGGATGACAGGCATGTACTACCTTACTCAGCTTATTGGTTGAGATGAGGTCTTGTGAATCTTTGGTCCTGGGTGAAACATGATCCTACCCATCTCTGCCTCAGAGTAGCTAGGATTTACAGGGGTGAGGCACTGAGCCCAGCTTGAAGTTGCTTTTCACAGACCCCTGACTGTTGTCCTTGAAGAAACTGAGTTCTGTATCATGGAAGGACTCTGACCCAGGAGTCAGAAGACCTTGGTTCTGGTCCTGGGCCTGGTCCAGCCCTGGTGTGGACAGCTCAGTGTCCCCTCTTTCTCTATGCACAGTGTACTAGAGCCAAGTCTTTCAAGGGAGGGGCTCCATGAGCCTCACAGCAACTGGGTTTCTGTGTTTTGGTCTTCATCCCTCCTCTTCCTTGTCCTTCAAAGGGCCGCTCCAGGGTCCCCCTGATGACCCTACAGCTGCTGGACTTCTGCCTGAGTATCCTGACCCTCTGCAGCTCCTACATGGAAGTGCCCACTTATCTCAACTTCAGGTCCATGAACCACATGGTAAGTCTGGGGCAGAGGTCCAGGCTGGCTCCCCAGCTATTTCTTCACCTCTCTGTGCCTCAGGGCTTCAAGTTGGCTTGGCTGGGAAGAATATTCTCCAGAAGATGCTTGGGAGCCAGGGAAACAGTTCTAGAAAGGAAGATGGTGATGTGGGTGTTAGAGCATCCCTGCTTGACCCCAGAGGGAGCCCTGGACTGGGTTCACCCTGCAGAGATATGACTGGTTTTTCAATTGCTGCCTAACAAATAACCCCAAGCATCATGGTTTAAGTCAATAAATACTATTTCAATTTTTTATGGTGGTACTGGGATTTGAACTCAGGGCCTTGACATTCCTAGGCCCTTCTATCACTTGACCCACACCTGCAGCCCTTTCTGTGGGTGAAAGGGCTGTCTGAAAAAAATAACTTTCCTATCTGAAAAGAATAACTATTTTTCAAATAGGAGCTCTTGCTTTTGCCTGGGCTGGGGCCAAGATCCTTCTACCTCCTTCTCCCAAGTTGCTGGGATTACAGGTGTGAGCCATGAGCATCCACCATCTATTTCACAGTTTCTGAGGGCCCGAAATTTGGGAGTGTCTTGCTAGGTCTTTCTGACTCAGGGTCAAGATGGCTGCTGAGCTGGATCCAGAGTCTGCTCCTCCAGGACTCCTTCATGGCTGCTTACTCTTTGCCCCAGTTCCTCACATGGGGACCTTTGACAGTGCGACTTGAGTGTCTTCATGACAGGAGCTTGTTTTGCTCCATGGAGGGCAGGGACATGACCTATTAGGTATTATAGGGTTAGGTGGCTCCTATCAGCCAAGACTATCCTCTAGTTAGGACATAGGAGTTGTCCACCTGCCTGACGAGGCTGATGGTCACACCTTCTTGGAGGGCATGGCTAGTGGTCCTTGGGGACAGAGGTGTTGATGTGGCCCATCTGTTGCAGAATTACCTCCCGAGCCAGGAGGGTATGGCTCACAGTCAATTCACCAAGATGATGGTCATCTTCTCTGTCGCCTTTGTCACCGTCCTTGTCCTGAAGGTGAGTGGTGCCTGCCCTGTGGCTCTGTGAAGGGAGACTCAGGTTGTGCTGTGGTCCCAGGCCCCCCCACATACAACGTCCCTGCTCTTACCCGATTTTAGCTCCTTTCTCTTACCCTCCTCATGCCAGCTCCTCTGAGAGTCCACTTGAGACCCTTGGGGACATTCTGCTTAGGGGATGTAGGTCTGCAAGGGCCAAGTGTATTCAGGTGTTAGGGGTTCAACATGTAACTCAGGGTAGCACTGGTTCAGTTGCACTGTCTGGGGTTCGATTCTGGCAGACCTGGGTTTGAGTCCTTGCCCCACTCGCACTATCTGTGCCCTGGGTCTTTGACGGGTCCCATCTCTCTTGTCTCATCTGCCATAGGGGTGTTAGAAGCCTTGCTTGGTTCATGTCACAACCTTATATGACTCAGGGACCTATGGTCACATGAATGGAAGTTTAGTGATGGGAAGGATGGTAAGCGAGCAATGGGACTTTCCTGAAGGCCTCCTGGGGGAGACCCCCCCAGGCCCAACCCAGCTCCTTCTCTGCAGTCCCTTCTCACCATCGTTGGGACAGGTCTCTCTCCCCCCTCATCTTGCCTCCCTGGCTGCCCCCCACCTGCTTGATTAACCTGGGCCTTCCTGCCTCACCCTCATTACTCGTGATCTCTGTATTTCGTTCTGTCCCATCTAAGTTCCACCAAAGGACTTCCTAAAACAGGAGAGTTTCCAGATGACAGCACCCTCTCCTCCTCCTCAGGATATAGCTGGGCCATCTGTTGTTCTTTGAGCATGGTCCCCTGGGACTTTAGGCCCCACCCTGGAACCTCTCCCATTCTTGCTTCCACTGCTGAGAGAAAGTTCTCACACTAGCTGACATCACACACTTGCACACATGCCTTTCCTTCCCATGTAAACATGGGTTAATGCTGAGCACACTTTTGTAATCTGCTTTCAAAAACAATGCACACAGGCCATTTTGGGGAGGTCCTTTCCCACCATCCACTCTGTCTCATGATGGGGGTCCCTCAGGTAGTGCCAGGAAGGATCTATAGGATGATGGCTAGGGAGATTGGACAGGGACCAATGCCCTGCAAAACCCTTGCTGTACAGTGGTCATGGACAATGGAGGGACAACCCTGAACTATACCCAGCAGGCAGGTGAAACCTCCCAGGACTGCAATGTGGGGTTGGAGCAGCTGTGGCTGGATGCTGCTTCTGGGGTAAGGGGTGGCTCCCCTTGAGGTACCTAGCATTGGTCCCAAGCCTCAGGGGCAGTGAGCAGGAGGTGGCAAAGCCCAGACTGACCCAGGTTCTCTTCCAGGTCTACATGTTCAAGTGTGTGTGGCGATGCTATAAATTCATGAGGTACACAAACTCAGCTGCTGAGAAGGGCAACTCCAAGATGCTCCCGAAGGTGAGGCTGACTGGGTCAAGTCCCAGCTCCCACTCTCTTGCTGGGCCACTTGGGCCAGGTCCTTTCTTTCTCTGGGCCTTAGTTTCTCCATTTGTAAGATGAGGGTTGGATTAGAAGAAATGTGAATGCTCTCAGCTCTATGATTCTACTCATTCATTTATTCATTCACCCATTCATCCATCCGTTCACCCATCCATCCATTCAGCCAGCCAGCCAGCCAGCCCAGTCTCACTCTTTTGACTTCGTATCCATTCTGGGGTGAACAGAAAACTGCACTGCTACCTCTGCCCCAGGGATACACACAGACTAGAGTGAACCCAGCTACAGAAATATACCTGTAGCTCGGTGTGAAGCACAGGGGCAGTGATCACAGAGGTGTCACCTCTGGGACATCCAGGAAGGCTTCCTGGGAGAGGAGACCTTAGCCTAGTCTTGGGTGGTCAGTGGGTATGGTATGAGATTGCTGGGAAGTGGAAGCAGGGCTTCCCAGGCAGAGAGGACAGGGAGCACTTGAAAGCTCTTCATTGAGAAGTGATGGAGAGGGCAGTGATGGAGAGAGCCCCCTTTCTTCATCTGAAAAGTGGGTTTACATGCTTCCGGTTGCAAGTGTCAGAAACCTAATTCAACTGTACTTAAGTCAAAAAGGGAATTTACCAGCTCACAGAACTTGAAAGGCCAACGTAGGTCTGGCTCCAGCCTGGTGACTCCTGACGTCAGGATATGATAGCATCCTCTCCGTCTCTTGACAATGTTAGCTCCACTTTCAGGCCGTCCTTCCCTATGGTGGCAAAATGGCTGCCCAAACTTTTAGGCTGACATCACACCTTTTTGGTAAGCCCAACAGAAATAGGAATATATGTGACTGGACCACGTGGGTCCCATACCTTTCACTATACCAATGACTATACCAGGGGATGGAATTCTACGTTGAGTGGCCCAGCCCAAGTCACATGTCCACCAGTTCCTTCAAGAGCACATGGACTGAGAAGTTTCCCCTAAGGAAACTGGTGCAGTGGGGACCTTGAGACTGAACAGGTGGAGGCAAATGTCCCTTGCTGAGATGGAAAGCCCACTTGCCTCACAGTCACTGGCATGTAGTGAGTGCCCAGGATGTGTGAGTCACTGTCATCAGAGGTGGGGGCTTGGGTCCCTGGACCTCAGGTTGGACTTGTGGGTCCTTCCTGATAATGCTCAGCCTTTTCTCTCTCTCCCCCAGGTGGTCCTGCCATCCTATGAGGAAGCCCTGTCTCTGCCCTGCAAGTCTCCCGAGGGGGGCCCTGCGCCGCCCCCATACTCAGAGGTGTGACCTCGCCAGGCCCCAGTCTTAGCACTGGGAGGGGTGGAGCTGCCTCTGTATCTGCTTCTTTGCTTTGGTGGCCCTGTGGCCTAGAGGGACTACTCAGCTGACTTCAGGACAATCTGCTTGTGTCCCCCTTACTGGCCTGCTCACCACTGGGTCCTCCTCTTTGAGTCACTCAAAAATTCAGTCCAACAACTTGACTTATTTTCATCAACAATGATACTTGTTTAGATGACTGGTCATTTTAAATTTTGGCAAGTTTGCTTAAGTAGCCATCAGTTTAATTAATCAATATATAACAAAGTGACTGACAACCAAAACCACATAGTCAGATCAGTAAAATGTGGAATGACGGTGCATGGTTGGTTTGTAAGTAGTTGTCAGTTCACGGATAGATCTGACCCCACATGATATAAAATCAGTTTCTTCAAATACCTTGCTAAAATAGTTAGCAACTCAACCAACCATCTGTCACTTAGAATTGTGATACAGTTCAATAAAAATAAATACAAAGGTAGCCTTCAAACCATTCAGCAAAACTAACCAGCCACTGGCTGCCTGCTCTGGCCAGCTCAGTGTCTCTGAGCTGAGGATGATGGTTAATTCAAGGGAAAATTCAAACTTCCCCTTCAGCTTAGCTAGCTGCAGGAAATAACAGTTGTTTCCACTGTAAACAGTCATTTCACACACAAGATTGTTTGCTAAAGAGCTGTTCTTACCCACAGTCAAATGCTGGCCCTGTGCCCAGGGTAGTCACATGGCAGAAGGCTCCTTGACAGGTTACCTGGGCCAGTCTCCTTTAGGACTCAGCTGTCAGTCCATCCTGCTGGCCAGGCTGGTCTGATCCCACCCAGTCGAGCAAACCCCCCTGAACTCAGGCAGGCCGTGTGTTGGACCAAATCCACAGGGCTATTCAGTCGGAACAGGTAGACCCTCTGTGGCCCCAGCCCCTGCCCAGGAGGCTGGTGTTCGGTGGTGGTGGTTGGGAGGCTCAGCCCCACGTCCCTCTTTTGTCTGCTCCCCTGTGGGCTGGGGATCCTGAGTGAGCTGCTTTTGTGGTGGGGACAGAGCCTCCGAGTCTGTCGGGGCACAGGCAGGGCTGCACAGGAGGTTCCTGTCTCACCCCATGTCATTGCTTCATGTGACTCAAAAGAGGTTTCAATAAAGTGGCAAGCTTCGCTCTGGCTTGTGTGGTTCCTGACAGATGGTGTAGCAAGGCAGTGCCTCCTACTTCGGTAGCCCTGACACACACACACATACGCACACACATGCCTGTTCAGAAACTCCTAGGGACCAGGTGCAGCTTGTGCGTGCCATGACCTGGCACTGTTTCTAATCATGGATTACTGACCACATAAGTGGCCTGATGTCTCCCAAGTCAGGCTTGAACTTTGCTCACCTGGCGAGCACCTCCACCTGGAGACAGGGCCTGTTCTGGGCGCTGGGGTGACTTGCCCGTAATTACTTATGGCCTGGGACAGACCCAAAAACAATTATAACAGCTGGTGGCCAACTCCACCATGGGGAAAACTGGAGCTACTTTAGGCTCAGTGAGGGCAGAGAGCATCTTGGAAGAGGCCTCACCGAGCTGAGTCTGGGAGAGCAGGCAGTGGGAACAAGGATGCTCCAGGCCAGTGGAAGGTTGTGCAAGGTCTGTGGGGAGGGAGAGGGGAGAACAGTACTGCCAACAGACAGGAGGCAGACAGGCATCCTGGCCCAGACAGGAAGAGTGTTTGCATGCAGCTGGGTTCTTTGTTGCTAGCTCACCCTGGTCAACTGCATCTCAAAGGGCAGCCCCAGGAAGAAGATGGGTGCAAGTAAAGAAACCTCAGTGAACTGTGTTTATTACCTTTCAGTCCCCCAAAGTGAATCTCCCCATAAATGAAAAGTCCAGGGACTTTGGACTTCAGGCATGGCTGGATCCAGGGCTAAGTGTTTCAGTCATGCCTCTTTCTCTGTCTCCCAGTGCTTTGAATGTTGTGTGGAGGAGAACAAGTCTGAGTTCTGGGGCAGGAGAATCTTTGCAGGGTTTTGGGTGGGGAGTTACAGGGTTGAGATGGGTTTTAGGAGGGAAGAGAGAAGTGCAGAGACCTGCAAGAGGGCTGGTGAAGTGGTACCGTAGGGTGTCAGAGAGGGGTCAGTGTACTTTGGGTGCTATCCTCGGAGAGGGTACATTTCTCTGAGGATTTTATTTGCTGTTTATCAGATCCCCAAGCAGCCAATGCAGTGTCACTAACAGGTGGAAAATGAACTACAGTTCATTGCCCAGAGATATTAAGCAACTTTCCCAAGGCCACACAGCAGTCAGTGATTGACCAGTGCCTTCTTTTCATATCCCAAGTGAAGATTGTGGTGATGGACCAGGATCGCAGTGTGTGTGAGCTCTTTAGTCTCAAAAAGATCCATATGAAGAGCACCTTGCAGGGGTCCCTATCAAGTGAGGGGGTGTCATGGGAGAAGCAGGGTTGGCCTTGTCCCCAGCTTTACATTCTGTCAAGAGGGGACCAAGGAGCCATGGCTGTGTGCTCAGAGGACCCGGAGCCCATGCAGCTGCCTAGTTCTTCTCCCTCCACCAACCCCACCCTCATCCCTGGCCCTGGAGCCGAGCACCAACTGAGCAGAGTAGTAGGATTGTGCCCTGTAGCCAGGCAGCAGGGAGGGGGTGGCTGAGGGACAGGAAATAGCTGGGTTTGGGGAAGTCCACATGGCCGGCCAAGCCAAGCAAGCAGGGATCACTTGGACAGCCCTTGAGGGCTCATCAATGCCCTGCTTGAGGCTCAGACAGGGGCCCTTTGACAGTCCTGCAGAGGGGCTGCTTGAGCGCCGCCCGGAAGGGCAATGGCCCCAGGAGCGGCTCTGCAGGCCTGGGCAGTGCAGGACTGGTGGCTGTGGAGGGAAGAAGAGCTGCCAAATTTAAACAGGATGCTGAGCACAAGAACTGCAGGTTTCTTGGGAGCTGAGCTAGTGGAAGAACAGTCCCATGATCACTCCAGCCCTTCTGTGCGTCATCTCCATGGATCTCCTGGGCCTCTTGAGGCACGTGCTATGTGAAGATCCTTCCTGGGGCCCAGGCAGGAAGGCACGTGCCCAAGTCCTGCACCTGTCAAGAGCAGAGCTGGGTTTAACTCCACCAGCCTTACTGGACCTGCACTTGTACCTCTGCTTCTTTCTGGCTTTTGGTGCTCTTCCTCTTGGGAGCCCCCTCCTCATAGGCCCTTATGTAACTCTTGAAGCCCTGGGGAGGCCTTTGGGTTATAGGCCATAGAGCTGCCCACTGACCAGTAGGATTCTGGACTACAAGGGGCCCGGGAAGCTGCAGATCTCTCATTCTAGGAGCAGGCTCCTGCCAGGGCTTGCACCCCTGCTTCCGTAAAGAGTCCCCTCCTTCAAAGCTGCCCTTTCCATCCTGGGGTGGCAGCATCCATCAGCAAATGTTTCTGCTGAAGTCTGTGGAAAGTGGGTTCTAGCGTTTGGCCTGAACTTTGCTGACTTTGAGGCCTGCAAAGGACACCTCTGCTCCCTATGCCCCTCAGTGGCCTCTCTAATCTGCCCCTACCTAGAAGCTCCCCTCCACCACACCCCTACATGCTGACCCCTGTGTTCAGCACGATGGGCTCACTGGGTACCCAGGGTCCAGTCTCTCCCTGGGATCCAGCAGGAAGTCTCTCTAATTAGACACTAGGAGCGTCTTGATGGGCAGGGGGCTCAGCAGAGAGATGTCAGCACTGGTAGCCCAACTGGTTTTGTTGCCACCCCAGTGGTCCAGACAGTAGAACCAGACACTCACTTGCAGCCTCCTCTGCCCCACGTGTTGGAGGACATCCCAAGTAGGCAAACAGCCTGGAAGGCAAAGGCTTGAGGAAGTGACCTGGGGTCAGAAGAGGACCAGTGTGGGATCTGCACAACCTCGCCTGTGATAGCCACGATCAGGATACCCAGATGCATTCCACCTTGACCTTGACACATGGGTGGAGCTGGATTCCTGTGGAGACTTTGGGAGAAGAAGAGGCATTCTCAGGGGGAAAGAGCAGGGAGAAAGAAATGGTAGTGGCGGGAAGGGCTGAAGACCCTTTCCCAGCCCCTCCATCTGAGAGACAACATCAGGCATCTCCAGAGAACGTTAGGAGGGAGGACACAAACTGTACTGGGCTGGACCTGTTAATGAAGGCTTTGACAGTGTGACACTCCCTGATCCCGTGTGGCCCTGACCTGTGAGGTCAGAATTGCTAGCAAGTCTCCAAACTCCACCAGGCTTCCCCTCCCCCCGACCGCTGCACAGGGCACTTGTCTGGTATTTTTTGTCAACACCTGGGTTTATACATACTGAGGTAACTTCCCCAAACTCAGACACACTGTATTTCCTGTCAGTGACCTGTCCTTACCCCATCTCTCACTCTGCTCTCATGTATTCCTTTAGGTACTCCAGGCCCCAGTGACATGTGCCCTTGTGTGATTGCCTCCCCTTGAGTGTGAGTGACAGGACATTGCTCCTGTAATTAGGTGACCTGACATGGCACAGTTAAGGCTGTTCCTGAAGAGGGGACTTAAGGCATAAGAGGACCTTGGGGGCCTCCTTGCAGGGAAACTCAGTTGCTTGAGTGACCCTCAATCTCCAGTCAGTAAGAGAACAGATACTGGGGCTCAGTCCTGCAACCTCCGAGGACTGGATTCTGGCAGTCACCACACGAGCCATGTGACCTTGAGGTGCTTTCTGGACCAGCTGACATCCCATCCGGGTTCACTTTGGGAGGCTTGGAGCAGAGAGCCCTGTTCAGCCAAGTCCGACCTCTTGCCCACAGGAGCCAAAGGCTACTTTCTCACTGATTTTAGGTGTTCAGCTGTGGTCACTGGTTACTCAGCAGCAGAACACGAATATCCCCTGATCCCCAATGGGGAGAGAGTTTTATTTTTCCCTTATTAAACTTCCGGTGGCAGCTGCTACCTTCTCGAATGTTTGAAATCTCGGTTAGCATAGAGCAAGAGTGTTGAATTTGAAGGAGGGAAAAGAAACCACTGTTGGGCTGTCTTCATGCCTCTTCTCAGGTGTCCAGAGACTCTGGTTTGAGCCTGTGGGGGGTTTGAGGGGGTGACACAGTAGGGATTTCAGGAAGCCTTGGAAGATAGGAAGAAAAGATGTTTTATCCTGCTAGCTGGAGGATCATGTTACATTTCCAGCTCATAATCATAATCCTGTCTTCTTCTTCTTCTTCTTTTTTTTTTTTTTTGATTTTGAGACAAGGTGTCACTATATAGCTCAAGCTGGTGGTCTTGAACTCATGATCCTCCTGCCTCAACCTCCCAAGCGCTGGGATTGCAAGTGTGTGCCACTCTATTCCCAGCTCAGTGCTCAAACTTTTAGAAAGGGTAGGAGATGAGTTGGAATGCTGTTGGGGGCAGGTGCCAGGGTGGGATGGGGAAGTGCATGTGTCATAGAGGACGGGTGTAGGAAATGAGGGTGTTTTTCATTTGGGAAGAATTGAGTCGGTGGAGTGGGACCATGATGTTACTGAACGTGGTATACCACACTCAGAGCTGGATGGAATACTCTGAGAGGCAGGGAGTTCTCAGGCTGCTCCCCTCTAGGCTGGATGTAACATATGGGGCTGGATGAAGAGCCACTTGGAGAGTTCAGAAATACAGACTTGTGCTGGGCCTGGAATGAGCCTCAGAGCCGGTTTTTCTTTTCAAACACCTTCATCAACGGTGTGGGCATAGGGCAGAAAGTATAAAGCACAGGTAATTTGTGAACCCATCTAGAGGAGGGTCCTGCTCAGAGCCCAAGGTCCCTGCTGGCCCATGGTCTTGTGCAGGCTCCTCTCGGCCTCCCCCTCCTTGCCCGTTCTCCCTCTCCTCTGCACAGGGTCCCAAGTATCCCCTTGTCTTGGACAGGGGAGGAAGAGACGGAGCAAGCTTTGGCTGAGCAGTCCCTAGATGAGGACGTGTGTGCACATAGTTTTTTTGGGAGGTGATCCCAGGACATAAATTGAGGGAGGAAGGAGGCAGGGAAGGAGTGGAGGCTCCCTCTTCCTGGAGACCCTCTGACAACCACTTAGGAGCCCATCTCAGGGCTGGCCAGTGCAGGTGGGGAGGGCTGGTGTTCACCCACAGCTCCCATCCCTGTAGGTTGAGGGCTGCTATGGGGACCTTAGATCCCCGGTTGCCTCGGCACCATGTACTGAGCACACACTGGGACAATGGGCCAGTTCATGA